TTTCTTGGAGAACACGGAAGATGCCCACTGTTTGGAGACCTGGGAGACAGGTGGGTTAGTGCTGTGCATTCCCAAAGCTCTCTGACACCCCACCTGGGCCTGGGAGCATCTCAGCACCATGGCACAGGTTCTCCTGTGCATCCCTCCCTCTCCAGGCAGAGTGGGAAAAAGGAAAGGTTGTGAAGCTGCAAGATTTTCTGTGAGGGAGATCTCATCCCTGTAGTCACTCTGAGCAAGGGGCTGAATGTGCAGTGGCAGTTAAGGCACCAGGAGATGGTCACAGATACATACAGTGACATTCCCTTCTCAATGACATTCTGTTCTGATGCTGCATCCAGCCCAGAGGACTCCCCCCAGGGTGTTTTTCTGGGAGCATGCCCTGCCCCAGCAATCACGGAATCATTAAGTTTGGAAAAGACCTCCAAGATATCAAGTCTAACTTTTAACCAAATGCCACCATGCCCACTAAACCAGCTGCCTCCTCCCACTTTGGGGATGACCAGGCCAGAATGTCCCAGCCCCTCACACATGATGGGTTTTTCCAGCCTCCCGTGGGACCTGCAGAGACACCCATGCCCTTACCGTGGGTCTCAATGTGTGTACAGCACCTGTCCACAATCCGTGGGACCTGCCAAGTGATAGGGTTGAGGCTCAGTGTCTTCTTCTTGCCCAGACTTCTCCGTGGGCCCAGTTCGTGGGCATGTGACAGCTGCAGTGCCTCTAGAAGCTTGGAAGCGTTGTCACTCAGGTCAGTGATGGAATCCACAGACATGGCTCCCTAGGATGGAGCAGAGGGAGTTCCCAGGGTGGCACAAATGACCCCACAGATCCCAGTGCACCATCACTGCTGTGACCTCAGAGGTTTTTGGGAAAGGGTTTGTGGGAAAGTGCAGCATCCTGCCATGGGCAGGGACATCTTCCACCAGACCAGGCTGCTCCAAGCTCCATCCAACCGTGCCTTGAACACTTCCAGGGATGGGGCAGCCACAGCTTCTCTGCGCAACCCGTTCCAGTGCCTTACCACCCTCACAGGGAAGAATTTCTTCCCAACATCCTATCTAAACCAGCCCTCTGGACCGTTAAATGTTCTCCCAGTAACCTTGGCTTCATAAGATCTGAGCTAGTGAAGAGCCTCCCACCCATCACTGTCCATCTCCGGGGGAGTGGGGCCATCCTCATTTTCCTGAAGGCAGGCTCGGACCAGCCCAGGCTACAGCATGACCAACTCATAATTGTTATGAAAAGACCAGGAAAGTCCCATTTACTGCTGAATTCAGTGTATGACCATCCATCCTGCAGGACCATCACAGCCCATTTTGGGGAACGTACCCTGCGCTGGCTCCGGAAGCCCTTGTCCAGAAGAGTTGGGGAAAGCGGGTCCTCAGAGAAGCCCCCGTCAGGTGCCCGGACACAGCTCCCAACCACTCCAGATCTCTTCTGCCTCTGAGCCTGAAATCTTGTCACTGTGGCCTCCACCTCCAAGCAGAGCCGGCGGCTCTTCCGCACAGCTTCCTGCAGCTGCCGGTAGGCACGGTCATTGGCAATGACTTGGGCGAGCGGGATCCCGAAGGTCTGGGGAGAGCAGTCTGGGGAAAAACATGGGAGAAAGGGAAAAGCATCACTAGTGAGGGAGCTGCACTAACACAGCCCAGTTTTCCTGTCCCCAGAAGCACCTAGGGTGGGTGAGAAATGCATTCCCAAGGACCCAGACAAACCCAGAGGGAGCTGCTGCCCCAGGAAAGCCCCTGGAAAGCCTCTCAGGGGGTGGGACTCAGGATGCCAGGAAGCTCCCTGGGGAGTGGGGATGGCAAGGCATGGGAGATGGGGTGCTAGAGGAAGAGGAAGGAGGAGCTGGGAAGAAAAACTGGTCTCCATCAGTGTGCTTGTGTTCCCAGTTTTTCCTGGACTTTCCTTCCTTTTGCTGGTTACAGCCCCATGAAGACTTCATAAATCACCAGAAACATCCAACTCAAAAGATTCTTCCCAAATTCTAACCTCCACTTTTCTACAGGATTTGCCTCAGCTACATCTGCTCAAGAACAGTCTAGGTATTAGTGGTATTTTTCCCGAACAACTACTCCACTCCAGTTCTCCTGGTAAGGAGAGCTCTCCTGACCCCCAGCTTGTGGTTTTACACTCATGCTCGTGCTGTTCCACCTCACTCTTAAGATCAGCAAAACAACCTGGGATGAGGTATCCTGCTGGATTCATGCACCTCCCAGCTCACGCCACCAAAAATAACCAATTCTATTTAAGAGCAGGGACCAAACCCCAGGTAAAAAGGAATCCGCTCACCTTTCCTCTCCTTTGAGAAGCTCTCCAGCTTTTGCCAGATGGATTTACTACCTTTGGGTCCATCTAGGAGAAGAGAAAGCAAAGGTTCAACACCAGCATCATGGAGTTGGTTCAGCATAGGCTCCCCTGACAGACCCCTGCCTCTCTGTAGCCTCCAGCCACAGGGACACTGGGGTGATGACCATGGCCCTGAGGGGATCTGTGATTCCCATGGGACACATGGTGGGCAGCAGCTACCTGGGGAACAGCCCTGGAGATGATCAGCATCCTCCCCAGGTGGAGCGAAGGACCCCACCACACTCAGATACCAAAGACCCCATGGCACCATACCAGGAATACAGCCCAGAAGGGCTTTTGGAATGTTTTACAGGGTACAGACACCAGACAAAACACCATCACAAATCCCATCCTGGTCTGGAGAGGTGAGGTCCGCTCCTGAGGATCACCCAAGTCACATAGCCAGCAGCAATGAACTGAGAACTCAGTCACTGGCCACCCTAAATCCTTCCAGGACACATCACCCTATTCTGGCTCATGCTCCTCATTCCTGAGGAATTTGCTTCCCAGAAACAGCTTATATCTAATTGTTTGGGTTATTTTGTAAGATTTGGAGGAAAGCTGTGACAGCTGGAATAAGGAACAGGAGCACAGAAGCTGACATAAATTATCCAGCAGCACACTGACCAGCCAGGAAGGAAATACTGGGGTTTGGGGTTCTTTTTCTGGCATTGCACTGGTCCCTAGAGAAGCTGCTGCTGCAGGGTGTCACTGCAAATGGGATCACAACAACCCAAAATAAAAGAAAACAGAAAAGGAACCAGGATGTTTGTGGTCAGAGTCCCCCAAGGGCTGATGGTGCAGCTCTGGAGCAACTGGGAGTTCTAGAAGGGGAGAGAGGAGCTTTGTTGGACTCTTCTTGAAGCCGTTTCATGGCATGAAATCTTCCAAATCTTAATTAACATTGGAAACCAAACTTGGGTGTCACTTGCTGCCCAGTATGAGGCTGGGCATTGGGAAATGCTCCATCCCTGGGAGAGGCCTCCAGAGACTGGGGGTCTTCATCCTTGGGGAGTCCCAGATGCCCTGGTGCTCCTGCAAGTTGGGGGTGCAAGGATTGGAGACCCCCACAAGCTCCCTCCGTACTTGCACTGCTAGTGTCCCACAATCCTGGAGCTGGTGAACTGGAAGCATCTGCTGCCCTGCTGGGATGCCAAAATATGGCCCAGGGCAAAGGAGGCAATGTCAATGGGATAAGAAGTACATTTGGGAAGGAGACAGCTGAACCCCATCTCACTGGGGCTGCTGTGAGGACATCAGGGGACACAGGTTGCTCTGGAAACCCCAACAGTGCCTCTGTGCTCAGTCCCTGTGGAGCTCCTAAATTTATCTACCCATTAATCTCCCTGTGCGTCTTCCAGCCTCCCATAAGACCCTTCCCAGCATCGGGACTTTGTGCTGGACATAGATCCAAACAGCAAAGCCTGTCCCATCCCAATGGCATTCAGACAATCCCAGTGGGGACCTTGCCAAGCTGTTGCATCTGGCTTGGGTTAGAGGGGTTGGAGGCAGACACAGGCAGGGTCACATTCTCACACTCCTACAGACATGCAAACACCCTCTGAAGGCTGATCAGACCCTCAGGGCTCAGACCAAAACAGGAAGGAAAAACAAAATGGACCAAAATGTGTCATGAATGTCTTCCCGTAACTATCATCCTGCAGTCTGGGGTGGGAATGCACAACATTAATGGCTCAGCCTCAGCCCCCTTGGCAGAGGCCTCCTCTCCATCGACTCCTCTTCATCCTCCCCACCCTCTCCTTCCTCTCCACCCTATCCAGCCTGTACCTCTGGCCAGGCTGAGATCTCCCACGAGCAGCTTCTCCTGCAGCCGGTACAGCGCAAGTTCCTGCAGACTGGCCCTTTCCAGCTCCGACAAGCTCTGCAGGGCCATGGGCTGCATCCCAGGGCTTGGACCTGGCACAAGAGCTGAGAAGGTCCTCTGGAAAACACACACATATAAAACTCAGGAGCACATGGCAGGGATGCCAGCTTTAGGAGAGAAGGTGCTTCAAATGCCCCAGGGAATCTTTGCAGGAGACACTTGTCCTCTCAGAACCTTCCAAAGAGTTACCAGGGCCATATCTCACTTCATCCTTCCAAGCAAAGGTCTTGGAGGCATCAAGAGGAGAGATTTAGATTGGATCTAGAGTAGAAATTCTTAGCTGTGGGGGTGGTGAGGGACTGAGACAGGTTGCCCAGAGAAGCTCTGTCTGCCTCATCCCTGGAAGTGCTCAAGGCAAGATTGGTTGGTGCTTGGAGCAGCCTGGTCTAGTGGAAGGTGTCCCTGCCCATGGCAGGGGCTGACGTGAGATGAGCTTTAAGGTCCCTCCAACCCAAACAACACCATGATTCTATGATTCATCTCTTCCAAATCACAAACAACTGCACATGATCAGAGCTACTGAGGTCCTTTACCCCTGTCACAGGCTGGACCACAGCCCCCCACACCGGACACCCCATCCCATCTCCCACACCTTTAGGGAGCCCTCTCTGTTGTTTGCAGCCTCCAGGAGTGTCTGGCAGGGATGCAGCTCCTCACCCCGCACTAACCTGCATGCCTCCAGCCTGATGCCACCACCCCAGCACTGGGTGCCAACTGGCACAGTCCAAAGAGCAACAGCAGCAGCAGATGGAAGACAGGACCAAGGTCAGAGTACAGGCTGTGAAAGGAGCCTCCCTGAAGAGGGCTTAAGGCAAGAATGAAAAATAAATGCCTGGAAATTTCCAGGAATGAGGGTGAGACACCCAGGAGCGGGACAGGGCTCCCATGTCAGTCCCAGCACAGTGCTGCTGCTCACCTCCAGCCACTGGGGCTGGTTCCTTTCGGCCAGGTTTTCAATTTCTAAGGGTATTTTTAAAGTTACACAAAATGATTAAGAAAATAAATATAAGAGTTGTTTGGAGTTCCACAGAAGGGCACACCAAAAAGGGAATTCAGCTACATCATAGAATCATGGAATGGTTTGGGTTAGAGGGATCTTAAAGCCCATCTCATTCCATGCCGTGCCATAGGCAGGCACACATTCCACTAAACCAGGTTGGTCCAAGCCCCGTCCAACCTGGCCTTGAACACTTCCAGCAATGGGGCATCCACGGCTCCTCTGGACAACCTGTTCCAGCACCTCATCAATCTCACAGGGATAAATTTCTTCCCAATATCTTATCTAACCCTGCCCTCTGCCCATTTAAAATAAATGCAATACAGGAATTTTTATAACTTTCATCCTGCTTTCCCCAGACAGCCTGGCTGGGGATGGGGGCACAGGTAACACCGTCGCTGTGACAGGTGTGACACTGGCATCTCTGCATGTCAGTGACAGCTCCTGTGCCTCTGCCACACCAAGAACAAGTGACAAGCAGCAGTGGTGCCACCTGGGATCTCCCAGCAGGATGGGACCAGCTCCCCATTGGACAAACCTCCCAGACACACACTGAAGGGAATTACCTTTTTGCAGGGCAAGCTCCTCACTCCAGCAGAGCCCACAGTCACAGTCCCTGCCTGAGCAGAGTCCCAGAGGATGTGGCTTCTGTAGGGTGAGGAGGAGGAGGAGGAATCCTAATTAGGAGAAGGAGCAGCAGAGGGAAGGCAGGAAGGAGGTCAGGAAGGAGAAGTCCAGACAAGCTGCTGCTTATCTGCCTGAGCGCAGGCGCCAAGAGAAGAGCCCTGTGGCATGCCACGGCTCTCATTCCCAAAACTGTCCTTCAGGAGTTAACCACAAACACCCGTCCCTGCTTCTTGCCACAGGTGTGTACTTATGCTCCTGGGAACAGGTGAGATGGAGACCAGCACTTCCAACCCGGTGGTACAGCAGCTCCCTGGGTGATCCGTGCAGAGCCCCATGGGACAGGAGAGCTTGCTCAGCCTGGGCAGGCACTGGGGCTCCCTGCAGGGAGGGAAATTCTGTCCCACAGCAGGGGCAAAGCCAGAGACCCTCAAATCCTTCTGCAGAGGGGGATGCCGGAGCAAGAATCTTACTAACTCAAAATCAAGACTAGGGCTTATTTAAAGAAATCCCATGGAAAAGCTCAGTCCAGCCACCCCTTCCATTCCCAAAGAGCTGCGACTGCTCCCCCAGTTTCAGCAGCAAAGTTTCTGTCTTCCCAGCTGGAACAAAGGGCCCACATTTACCTTTCCCGTGTCCTCTTGCAGCAGGGTCAGCAGTTCCAAGGGCTCCCAGCTCTTCCTTCAGGATGATGGTTTTCACAGCAACATCTCTGCTGCAGCTCTGGGGGCCCTTCCCAGCCCACAGGCAGGAGGAGAAGCAGAGAACTGATGGAGAGGAGCCACCGCAGCCAAGGGGAGGAGAGGGGGGATGAGAATGTGAATTTTCTGCCAAAAGAAATGGGAGCCAGAAACAGCGTGTGGAGAGAGGGCAGGGTTAGATGGAAAGAACACCACTTCCCACGCTGGACACTGTGCCTTGGTAGGGATCAGCCGTTGCTCAGCCTCCATCCCAGTGCATTCCCCACTCCCACCCATCAGTGACCAGGACACCCACCAGTGTCAGCTGTTACAGCAGGTGAAACCTGGATGGGGAATGTGCTGCTCAGACTTGTTGATGAGGGCCAGCCTACAGTTTCCACCTCAGCTCTCCATGCAGAACTTCTCGCTGGTCCATCACGCCCCAGTGACAGTGTATCCAGTGGGGTCTGGCACTGGCAGGACACATGTCTGCCCTCCATATCCACCACAGGTCTGGGGAACCACAGGATCCCCTCCAGAGCTCTCTGGTTGAGGAGCTCACAGGCCTAGAGAGCCTTACAAATCTACAGCAACCCACAAGATATGTTAACACCCCAAACCGGCACCTCCTTGCCTACTACCACACCCACTAGCACCTCAGGGACTGCATTCAGGCTCCTGGTCCATGACATGGTGATGATCATGGAATGGTTTGTGTTGGAAGGAACCTTAAAGATCACCCAGTTCCAGCCCCTGCCATGGGCAGGGACACCTTCCACTAGACCATGTTGCTCCAAGCCCCATCCAATCTGGCCTTGAACACTTCCAGGGATGGGACAGCCACAGCTTCTCTGGGAAACTTGTGCCAGCCCTGCATCTCCAGAGCATCTTTCCCCAGGAGGGGCTGGGTTATCTGCAGGCTTCCTTTTAACCTCAACACCTCCTGCTTGCTTAGGCCCTGCCTCCTGCCCCAGGAATCACCACTCACCACATGTTGACTTTGTTTCCTTCCCTGCAGGAGCTCCATTTTGAGGACACAGCCCAGCTTGCAGCTTCCTCCCACCCATACAGTGATCACACAGAACCTCCTCTGGAGGTGGCTGCACCCCAATACAAACTGGTGCTGCTGTGCCACCACACTACCATAATCTGCCAACTCCAGCTGCTCTGATGGAGGAAGGAAGTCATGGTCACATGGCAACATCATCAGAGAAGCTACAGAGGGAGCAGGGAGTAGTTGTGGCCCAATACTTGTGAGTGCTCTTGACATTCACAGGGAAGGTGAAGCCCCAGGTTGGTGGAAGACTTGGGATAGGACATGGCAGACCTGGGATGAAGCATGGAGCACAGCAGGGGACTTGGGATGGAGCATGGCAGAGGACCCAGAATGGAGCCTCTCCTTTCCCCTGGCAGGCAACAAACACTAAACAAGACAAAGAAAGCAGCAGGGTCAAGCTTTGGCATAAAAAATGTTTATTCCTTAAAAATACAGCGTTCATCTGCAGGGACACAACTATTCAGAACATTTTTTGGAAGTGTTTTCATCTGCTCCCACTGTAGCAAGTGCTTGGTGTCAGGAGCAGGGAGAGCAACAACCCACCTGGGAGCAGCCCTGTCCCAACAGGAAGATCCGTGTCACCCACTTCTGCACCCAAGCAAGCTGTGGGCAGGGTTCATGTAGCTGCCCCAGCTCCAGAGATGCCCACTCCAAGCTCTCCCTGGAGTCAGAGGGTTTGACACCTGCAGCAGCACCACACCTGCCTCCTGTCTGGCCAGGGAGACCATCTGCAGGATATATTTCCCCTGGGGGAAACCTCAGTTCATCTGGAAGGGTCCTGGTAGGCAAAGCTGGAAGAGGGGATGCAGCAGGACCCCGGACTGCTCTGGCCCTGACTCACTTTCACAGCTCCATAAATCCTGGCTCTGTTCCCTCCCACTGCCCCACAGAACAACCTGCCTGGTCCCCTGACAGCCCCAACCCCACAGGAGGGGTGTTCTGGCCGGCCAGGGTGGCCTGTGCCCATCCCAGCTTCCACCCTGCAGCCAACATAGGCTCGGACCCAGTGTGTCCTTGTGCTGCATGAGCTCCACACTGGGTTAGATCCAGCCCCCATGCCCTGTCATCCTGCTGATGCCCTGTTGCTCCAGCCACAGCTGCCCCCACGCACTGCTCTAAACTAGTCCTGATTTCTGAAGTTTCTTCCCTGATTTTCCCAAGGAGAGGCCTCCCTGAGCACATACCACCCTGTCCTCACTCCACCTGAACTGAAGGGACAGGGGGATGTGGTGACAGGTTCCCACCTGGCACAGCAGGTGTATTTCCTCCATGACCATCCTAGCTCCCCTAATGCCCTGGGAGAACTGGCACAAGACTCTGCCAGTGAAACCAGCAAGGATGATGGTTCATCTAGGTTGGAGGATGAAGTTGCAGGAAGAAGTCTGAGGGATCCAGAGAGACTTCAGGGCCTCAGGATGACCGGCTAAGGGATCAGGGGCACAGGTAGTGTTCTCCATTCCCTGCAACTGGAAGGATAGAGAAGGGAGAAACAGGCAGAGCCAACAGGTCAATACTTGGCTCCATGCCTGGTATCACCAAATGAATTTTGAGGCTTTTGATGAGGAGCTGGTTTACCCCACACTAGGTGTCTGCTCTGCATTGTACATTGGAACACCCCTGAGATGTCTCTGGACTCCTGTGGGCAGCACCTCAGCCATAGCAGCAGGGCAGGGGGTGGAGAACCACCCTGCAGCACATGAGGATTGTGGATGTACCAGAAATCAGGGAAGCACCTGAGAACAGACACAGGAATTGAGGCTTCTCCCCCCAGAATATGGTGGGATCAACAGCCCAACTGAAGGGCACCTACACCAATGACCACGGCATGGGGAACAAACCGGAGGGGCTGGAAGTCTTGTGTGGCTGGAAAACTGACTGATGCCATTATGGAAGCACGTCAGGATGCCTGACAGAACTGGAATACTGCAAGGAATGGCTGCAAGCTCTGCAGGAGGCACCAGGCAGGGTGGGAGCATGGATCTGCTGGAGGGCAGGAAGATCCATGGAGGGATTTGGGCAGGTTGGATTGATGGGCTACGGTGTTTTACCCAACCTCTGCAGGGGGCTGGGGAGGAACGTGGCATGCACTGGGAACACAAGGAACAGCGTTGGGAAGGTTCAGGAGCAGAGAAGTCTGTGCTGATTGTAGCTCAGTCCCCAAAGCAAACTGGGTGGAGAAATGGGATGGTAAAGATCACCAAAACACAGGCTGATGTAGCTCCCTGCTCCACATTCATAGAAAACTAAACACACTTCCCATGTAAAAAAATCCTTTACAGACTGACCCAGAGCACAGAAGCACTGCCAGACCCCCTCAGCTCCCAGGAACTCTGCCCCCAGCTTAGCTCAATTGTTAACAGAGGAAACAGCATGAAAAATAACCAATTCCCTGGCTCGGAGACACCTGAGCCATTCAAATCTTCTGTTTAAACATACCTCAGTTTTTATTCATAGAAATGTCTTTAAAAATGCCTTTTATTCTGTTTTGGTGACGTAGAAACCAGAAAATGCCTCTTTGTTTTTGCTTCAGGACAGCCTGTGGCTGATTCCTACCAGTAGGAAGGCTGAAGAGGAGAAATTTGGGCACACAAACACATACAACATTGGCAGGACAGAGTCAACACGCTGTGCTCCAAAGGGTCAGGCAGGAGTTTTTTTCCTCAAATATATTAAGCAGCACTTTCCCATTAACAAATACCTTGATGAAAGGGGCTGCATAACTTGAAGGTTCTTCCAGTGCTGCTCTGGACTTCATTTCACTTACACATTGTATCCCGAGGCCATGGTGCGTGTGAGGGAATCATCAGCAGAGGGAAGAGCATCCCAGGTTTTCTCAGCATCCATATTATGCTGTTTTCAGCACTAAGTCAAAGCTCAAGTCATTTTCAACCCATCAAAGCCACAAAACTTCCACCTCTTCTCCAAGCTGGCCCCAACGCCACTCAGCTCCTGCCGGAATGTGTTCTGGAGTCGTGTCATGAGAACTTCCACTTCTGCCGTGCAGATCTGTAGGAACACAAGGAAAACGTGACTACAAATGAAGATGGAAGCCCTGTGGTGATATTCAAATCAAACTGTTTAATTGATGAAGTATACCCAGGCTTCCCATGGACTTGTGGGGTTAATGTTAGGACACCATGAGCTGTGCTGCTGTCTCACTTCAGGGCGAGATGGCTGCAGGGATGCACTAAAAATAAGGCTAAAGGGACTGATTTTTTTACCCCTGTGGAATGTGAGATAACAGACTTAAACCTCCCAGATGTTTAAGTCACTGGACAGGGAGTGCTTTTACCTCGTTTTACTTTAGCTCCCACGTCCCTGACATCACAGGAGCTGCTCAAACAGAGACAAGAGCCAAGACTGGGGTTGTACCTGAGCAGGTGTTGTGAGCAGTTTCTCAGCCTGATGGCTGTTTCATAGCTCCAAACCACTTTTGATCTTCATTTATGTGCTGTCTGCTGACCTTCTTAGTGAGACTGGTGGGCAGGGACAGGGGAAAGGACATTCCTCTTCCTTTTCTGCTGGCAGCTTCAAGAAACCAGGTTGTACTTTCAAGTACTGCCCCTCCTCCTGCCTCACCTCAGGCCCAAAGATCTGCTAGGGGTTAAAAATAACACCCTGAACTAATCCAAGCTCCTGCATGAGTCAAGAGGGAGACAGAAGAGCTCAGAAGGAACCTGAGGGACAAATGGGAACATATCCTTCAATTGGAGCAGGCACAGCAACCCTGAGTGTCAGCAAACAAAAGGTGACTGATGCCACAGAGGTTTTGCACAGGGATTTTCTCCCAAGCTGACTGCAGAACCTTCCAGCAGCCCTTCTCCGCACTGTAGATTCCAAAGAGGAAATGCCAGAAGGCAGCTCAGTGCTCTGATGGCATTTTCATAGGAGCTTCAGACCAAAATAAAGGCAGCTGTTGGCCTCACAGACAAATTCCGAGCTAGAATGAGGAGATAAATTATTAACTCCATCTTTATAGGGCTGGAGTGAGTCAGGCCAGGGAGTTGTGCTTGCTTACAACGGGGAAAATTAAACACTGAGTTATAAACACAAGCAGTTGGAAAAGTTCCAGTCCCAAGAGATTATTCCCATGTGTGTGAGCTTCCTGTTCCTCTTTAAGGTTTACAACTGAAGAACAGGATAAGAAAGGAGTGAGATGCAATTCCCTTGCACCTACAGAAGCCTTTGCTCAGTCGCTCTCATTTATTCTGAAAAGGAGAGTGAAGCCAGTGGGACACAGGAATGCAGCAGGACACAGCTCCACGTTGTGCCAAGGGAAATGCATGAGCATGGCTTGTCACTGCCCTTGGTGACCCCAACACCCAGGGCTCAACCCCTCCCCAAGCACAGACCCTGTAAGCAGGCACCATGCTCCAGTGCTTCTGCTCCTGTAGTACAAGGCCCTGCACAGCACCTCCTAAAACTGACTCCACTGACAGGATCAGAAACAGAACATGCTTAGAGAAGGGGTGACAGGATCAAAAGTGCCTTGTAACTTTGCTCAGAGACACAAACACAATGTGACTGCTCCGTTTAGAGAGAACACACAAAACCAGGGCCATGGTAGATGGTGTGAGATGCTCCATGCACGAGGCAGCTGTTTGCCTTTTCCTTTGAGGTCATAAGGCTAAGAAAAACAAAGGGAAACTGCCCAAAGTAAGCAAACTTCAAGAGAATAAACAAAAATGCATAGGAGATGGAGATATTTCCCTGCTCAGGGCAGCAGTGGAGTCCCGATCCCCGGAGGGATTTAAAAGACATGTGGATGTGGCACTTGGGGACATGGTTAGTGGTGAATCCCAAGGCTGGGCTGCTCTGGGCAACATAGACAATTGGAAGGTGTTCCCTGCCCATGGCAGGGGCGTTGAACGAGATGAGCTTTAAGGTCCCTCCCAAACCAAACCAGTCTGTGATTCCAAGAAAGTTCACTTGTTCCCTCATCCTCTTCCAGCAAAATTCCTGCAGGGAATAGAGCCCTGGCTGTCCAGCCCCCACCTGTCTCTACACCCACCTTGCTGTCCAGACGCTGCAGGTAGGAGCAGATGTACTCGATGCTCGCTCCAAACGGGTGCACGTGGAGAAATGTGGAAATTATTCCTGGGGAAGAGAACACCACAAATGTCATTGTCGTGAGACAAGAGCCAGCTGGGAACACGAGCCCTCTCCTACTGCTGGGAGCCATCTGGGAGCTCCAGCTCCCCACCACTGCCAGAAGTCACAAGAGGACACCTTGACCCCACCACAGCTCGAGGTTTTACTCAGTTCCAGGACTCCCACACCTCCCTTGGGATAACCAAAGGAACCAGAGGTGGCCAGAGGGAGTGTGAGACCACCTTGCTGCAAGTGCCACCAGTTCACATCTCCAGTATCACCACCAAACCCATCAGAAGAACTCACCAACTAAGAGAACTTCTCGTTCGGATTTCACAGGACTGTTGCTCAATGTCTTCTCCACTGGACATTCCTTCTCCTGGCTGCATGCACAGACTCTGGATGTGCTGCTCTCCTGCAAAACAAAACCACAGGGCCTGTTCCAGGCACCAGCAGCCACCTTGGCACACCAGGCAGCAGCTCAGGCAGGCTCACCAGAGCCTGTATTTGTGTTTTCCTTTTCTCCGAGTCACTGCATCCATCACTGATGTATCTACTGGGTTTTTTTCCAAAATGCTTCCAATAAAGCACAGCCACGTTGCTGTGAGTGATTCACCAAGTGAGATGAAAAGCCCACAAAGTTCAGCAAGATGCCACCACACTCCCTGCATCAGCCCTGCTCTCTGACATGATGAGTGCTTTAGAAGGGCCTTGTTTTAAATAACAAAATAAAACCAGACCAAAATTCTTGCCATGACTAATTCAGCTGCAGTGATTTTTCAGATGCCCAGCCTGAGGCAATATGATTAACCAAGTGCCCAGGGGCTGATTGGGATCAGTCTGTTCCTGACTTGAGTTTGTAGGACTGAATTAAAACAGAATTTGGCATAACTACTTATCATCCCTCAAATAAACACAGGACTGACAATGATGCAAAGATAGTGCGTGCACTAAAAGCAGGACTTGCTTTTAGCCCTGAGTTTTATGTGGAATACCAGTGGCCTGAGAGCTGTGGACTGTTATATTTGGAAACAGCTTCCAGTCACCAGTGAGATGGACTGGATGGGGGCCAGTGACAAAGATAGAATTGAATGGTCCCTTGGGTTTGCTCAAATTCTTACACCAGTGCAGTTCTCAGCTCTGCAGGGCTGAAGCTGTGCCCAAATGGCCTGAATTTCCACATTTGCTTCCAGAGAACACAAAGGCCTGCCCTGTGGAAGCTGATCCAGGGACAGCAGCTCAGCAGCTGTGTTACACTGCAAGCCCACAGCCTGCTTTCTCCCAGAGATCATAGAATCATGGAATGATTTGGGTTGGAAGGGACCTTAAAGCTCATCTTGTTCTACCCCCTGCCATGGGCAGGGACACCTTCCACTAGACCAGGTTGCTCCAAGCCCAGTCCAACCTGGCCCTGAACACTTCCAGGGATGGTGCAGTCACAGCTTCCCTGGACAAGCTGTGCCTGTGCCTCACCACACTCACGGAAGAATTCCTTCCCGACATCCCATCTACCCATGCCCTCTGTCAGGGGGAAGCCATTTCCCCTTGTCCTGTCACTATCTGCCACATAAGAAGTCCCTTTCTCTCTTTTTTATAAGCCCCTTTAGGCAGTGAAAGGCCACAATGAAGTCTCCTCAGAGCCTTCTTTCCTCCCTGCTGAA